TGTTAAGGGCGCCTCAATATCTGTCCTCCCTCAACGACCTTCCGTCAATTTGACCCTGACCCGTCCATCTGCCTCAGAGCTGCCGTCTCTCCTGTAGTCTAAGATGTCTGTCTACTCTGACAGATTTACCCCTGCACCTGTAGGCGTCAACCCCCCCCCCCCCCCCCCCCACACAACACTCCTCTGTCACCTGCCTGTCTATTTATTGGTCCAGATCGACAGAGGTCTGGCCCTCAGGACCTTCGACTGGTTGGTACTCCACTCTGAAGCCTCCATTAATCAACGTGCAATTAGCCCTGACGACCTCTGTCCCTCGTAACTATACCGAAAATACTGATTAATCTCCCCCCCCCCCTTAAATACTCCTCCTTGAGCGAGGTATTGTGGTTGGTCACGACACTGGTGGTGTAGCACTGTCTTGTCACGCCGCGGCCTCCGCAAGCAAGATCCCGTCCCTGTGGTGGGATGTCTTAGTGGTGCTGGAGACGGGGTGGGGAACAGAGGGGGGAGGGGGGGTCGATGGTGGTGTTGTGGTTGGTGGGGGGTGGTAGTGGTGGTTCCCTGGGGAGGGAGGGGGGTCCTTGGGGGTGTTCTTCCCCTTGGGGGAGGGGGGGCAGGGGGTGGGGCTGGGTCAGGACACGCGATCGTCTCGTAACTCACAAATTGGTCCTTACTGGCCAATACGGTAATTATTATCATCACCGGGGATTACCTGAGGATTACAAGCGAGAGAGGAACGCTGGCCCCAACAGTCGAGCGGATCCTTCACTCTGGATTAACGGATTGAACGTGGATTCAAGGGATTTATTTCGCTAGAGCTCAAGATGTTGGTGGATGTTGGGGTGTAAGCCAATATTATTAAAGTATTTCTTGAATTGCTCGATAACTTGCTGTTTGGAACATCAACATCTGTTTAGATACTTTAATAACATCAATAACATCAACATCAATTGATACCTCTTCAGTGTCTGAACACTAAGAAAGTTCAATAATACATCGCCTTATGCCACTCCTTTTCAACCTTTAGTCTCACTTCCTTTCAACTTGACCACTCACTTAGACTAGTTAGTAGCTGTAGCGACAGCCTCACTTCTTGTAAGATTGACGTTCGAGCCACGATTGTAGGGTACCGTTCCGTCAACTCGTCCTTCTACCCGAGCTCCTATTCCAGCTCCTATCCTCTCTTCATGATTGATTGATAAAGATGAAGCCACCCAAGAGTGTGGCACGGGCATGAATAGCCCGTAACTCTCTTCATATATCTTGCTAGGTGTGGCCAGGGGCGGGGATTAGGTGTGCGAGCAGTCAGTGTACACAACCTGGTTGATCACTGATGTTAGTCGTTAGTCTTGTGGTTCTTTGTTAGTGCCACTGTTAGTGCCACTGTTAGTGCCACTGTTAGTGCCACTGTTAGTGCCACTGTTAGTGGCTCTGCCATGGTGATGTCATGCGGCATTCCCTTCCCCCTCCTCTCCCTCTCTCTCTCTCCCCCCTCTCTCTCTCTCCTCCCTTTTCCCTCCCTCCCTCCTTTACCCGCCTGCTTCCTCCTACCCCTAAACACCTCCCCCGCTGTTCTGGTTTTCCAATTCGATTCACTTTTTGTTTGACCATAAATCACCAAACAATTCTTGCGAACAAAAACTGGGTTTGTGTGGAGGGACGAGAGCTGTGGCAGTTGTGTGTGAGAGAGAGAGAGAGAGAGAGAGAGAGAGAGAGAGAGAGAGAGAGAGAGAGAGAGAGAGAGAGAGTGAGAGAGAGAGAGAGTGAGAGAGAGAGAGAGAGAGAGAGAGAGAGAGAGAGAGATAGAGAGAGAGAAGAGAGAGAGAGAGAGAGAGAAGAGAGAGAGAGAGTGAGAGCGTGAGAGAGGGAGAGTGAGAGAGAGTGATAGAGAGAGAGAGAGTGAGAGAGAGAGGAAGAGAGAGAGAGAGAGAGAGAGAGAGAGAGAGAGAGAGAGAGGAGAGAGAGAGAGAGAGGAGAGAAGGAGAGGAGAGTGAGAGAGAGAGAGAGAAGAGAGAGAGAGAGAGAGAGAGAGAGAGAGAGAGAGAGAGAGAGAGAGAGAGAAGAGAGAGAGAGAGAGAGTGAAGAGAGAGAGAGAGAGAGAGAGAGAGAGAGAGAGAGAGAGAGAGAGAGAGAGAGAGAGAGAGAGTGAGAGTAGAGAGAGAGAGAGAGAGGGGGAGAGAGAGAGAGAGAGAGAGAGAGAGAGAGAGAGAGAGAGAGAGAGAGAGAGAGAGAGAGAGAGAGAGAGAGAGAGAGAGAGAGAGAGAGAGAGAGAGAGAGAGAGTGAGAGAGAGAGAGGTGAGAGAGTGAGAGAGGTGAGAGAGAGCGAGAGAGAGAGAGAGAGAGAGAGAGAGAGGAGAGAGAGAGAGAGTGAGAGAGTGAGAGAGAGATAGAGAGAGAGAGTAGAGAGAGAGAGAGAGAGAGGAGAGAGAGAGAGAGTGGAGAGAGGAGAGAGAGAGAGAGAGAGAGAGAGAGAGGAGAGAGAGAGAGAGAGAGAGAGAGAGAGAGAGAGAGAGAGCGAGAGAGAGAGAGAGAGTGAGAGTGAGAGAGAGAGAGAGAGAGAGAGAGAGAGAGAGTGAGTGAGAGTGAGAGAGAGAGAGAGAGAGAGAGAGTTAACACAACAGTGACTAAGCTTGTAGGACACGCATCTATGTCTTGGTAGTGATTTGTTTTCCTGTGCCCCTTCTGTCCTCTTCCTTTTCATTTCGTCCGTCAGTCTGTCGGTCCGTCGGGAGACTCGTGGTCGGGGGCCATATTGGGACACATGTCGGCGGCGTTGCATGCTTGTGATAGGTTGCTACGGGCCCAGATGGGGCCCGTAGCTCACTCGAGATCGAATTCCGAACATCCGTGACAGAAGGCGGAAACGGGGCCCAGTCCGTGAACCCAATATGTAATTTTCTCCCACTGATCACAGGATGAGTTTATAGCCTTAATAAACTAATCAAACTCAACGTTTCAAAAAAGGGGGACGAGTTTCCATGGAGTTCAATAAGTGGGCACTTCTTACTTGCGGCTCTAAAGGGATGTCACTTACTTCACATCCCAAAGGTGTCATCCTTCATTTCAACCCTAAATTGAAGAGTCCCTCACTTGAGACTTAAATGGAGGAAAACTCCTCCCGGAATTAAAAAATAAAATTGGGGACATCCATCCCATCCCAAGTGGGATTGTCCCTCACTTGCGGACATAATCTTGTTTAGATCCAAAGGAGACATCAATAAGCCAAACATTGGGAAATAAGAGTTGATTGATTCAGTTTCTAAGTTACACACAGGTGGGTGCAGGAGCAGGTGACTAATAACTCATATGACATCCAACCCAAACATCTCTATATAAAGTCACTTCTATTTTCATATGTGTGGCTTGCTTCACTTATTTTCAATTACGTTATTCAGCCTTAATGACCGTACTAACTTGTGTGGAGGCTTCAGCACTCCCTCCCTACACCTCATCGGAGCCATCACTAGTGTTCTCTGGAATACTATCTGCCGAGTGATTAAAAACTAAGTCCTCAATTACTGCTCAGTGAACGGGGATCGAACCCGGGCCGATATCGTAGGCGAGGACGCCGTCCACTGAACCTGATAGAATACTCCGAGACGAGGGAAAGTGCCCCTATATAGATCATTATATTATTAATTTTTGTGTAATGAAGGGGGCGAGAAGATGACAAGATGAACACCAATGTTAAGAGAATCACCTCAGCTCGAAACCTGGTTCGAAATCTTCATACTGTCTCGATTCCAACCCTCAATAAAGGGTTAATTCGGCTTAGGGTCATATGCTCGTCCTTTGAAGCGGTTCAAGAGCCCTTACCAGAATTGGATTACGTCGGGAGCCTAATGTCCTTTGTTCATTTTGGCTACATGTGGTTCCCTGTGTGTCCCTCCGTCGAATTACGGAGGCAGGAGCTACCGCTGGGAGGTCTCATTGATGTATAGTCGAGCTCCTTAATGCGATTTGCAGATTTATTGTGAGGGACTTCGGGGGAGACGAAGGCGTAGCTTGGAGGCTGTCCTCAAGGTGGAGTGAGAGAGACGTCTGGTGGTGCTGGGGAGAGGGAGAGATGTCTCTGAGTGAGGTGAGATACATCACTGAAGGCAGGGGTTTGCAATGATATATAATACAGAGTGTGTATTTTATACTTAACCTGTAATATACATTTGTTCTGATGTGTCACCCGAATGTCTTCAATGAATCCCAAGCTATACATTATATGAACTCTGGAAACTACAGTAATGTATTTCAAGTTCAGCGTAACCAGCACATACAATATTAATATATTCAGGTGAGTTCCTCACCTGACTCATCTTGTTGTCACATATATGTAATCATTCCTCACCTGTCACATGGAGTTGTAACACATGTAATCATGCTTCACCCAACCTTTACATTTCCGAGGTAAATGTGTGTTTATAATGTAAGTGTAGTTAATGCCTTCGTGTGTGAGGTGTTGTCATTCTCCAGCTGACTCTTATCTTGTCTCCTCCACAGCCGGTGCTGCGACAAGAAGAGCTGTGGTAACAGAAATGAAACGCCCTCAGATCCAGTGATTATCGATAGGTAAGTACCTGAGTTATCTCACCTGTATGCATGGCGGGGGAGGAGGGAGGGAGGGTTAAGGTAGGGGAGAAGAGGGGAAAATAGAGAGGGGGGGAAGATTGCCACGTTTCCTTACCTTTGGGAAATGAAAGTGATTAAACGGCGATTTTTATTGCTTCTTCAAGCACTACATTACTCACGGTGAGAGTTTACTAACGTGGAAATGAATCTGCTTTATGCAGATTTTTAAAGGGAAAATCTGCATAAAGCTTGCTCCATTCAGCATGGCAGATGACAACAAATTTGAACCACCGGAAATGGTCGAAATGCAAGATATTGGCTACTTTTATTGCCCCATAATGTTTGTTGTTATTATATATAGGTACATGGACATTTATGCAGCTGCTCTGGTCTTACAGAGTGTGTCAAGAACTACCTACGCGATGCCGAAAAAAAAATCCCATCACACAGATTGGTTAGTCACACAGGGCCTAGTGATCAGTAGTCTGCACTGGCACACTCTGGGTGCATTATGAGGATATCTTCAAGAACACGAGAGGTAATAAAGTAATTGCAAAGCTCCAGGTACCTCATGCCAACGGGTCTGAATGGTCTAATGACTGGACACTCAGTAATGTAGTGTGGGAGATCATGCCGCAGTTCCTGCTCACAGAGTTTGCACCTGGAGTGCTCAGGGCTGGGAGATCCGTCACCTGCAGCCACCTGCCACAGGTAACGGTAACCCAACCTGATCCTGGCAACCACTGTGTCGCACAGTCTGGTCCACGTTTTGTGCTGCCCAGATACATTGGTTTCTGTTCTGAACAAATCATAGCTTTTTATACTGGTGCTTTCAGGTCTTTGGGAGTCAGTAATTTCTCTTATACAGTTTATTATCAATGCATAACAATCTTGAAAAGTACAACTCAATAATTATTTCTTTGAATTGGCTGGGAACTTCAGGAACGTACAGGAAATTGATCAGTGTAACCCGGACTCCACTATATAAATCAATGTTAAATGGTATATGTCTTAAAGAATTTAACTAAGAGACGAGGTCAATCTGACGTCAGCACAATAACAATTGTTATAGGTCATTAGTCAAGATGAAGAGACATTAGAGGCGGTTATCACTTTGGTGGCCTGGTCGACGACCGGGCCGCGGGGACGCTAAGCCCCGGAAGCACCTCAAGGTAACCTCAAGGTAGGTGGCTCTTGGAGAAGGAACCTGCAGGTGCTGCAGCACTCACCACACGAGCAGGTGAGAGGCGGGAGTAATCTCTCCCAAGGTGAAGGTGAAGGATTTGTTGAGGAGTGCTTAATCGCGCGCCCCCGTGCACCCGCGCCACCGTGCACCCGCGCCACCGTGCACCCGCGCCCCCGTGCACCCGCGCCACCGTGCACCCGTGGCCCCGTGCACCCGCGCCCCCGTGCACCCGCGCCACCGTGCACCCGTGGCCCCGTGCACCCGCGCCACCGTGCACCCGCGCCACCGTGCACCCGCGCCACCGTGCACCCGCGCCACCGTGCACCCGTGCCACGCGCCCCCGTGCACCCGCGCCCCCGTGCACCCCGTGCCACCGTGCACCCGCGCCCCCGTGCACCCGTGCCCCCGTGCACCCGCGCCCCCGAGCACCCGTGCCCCCGTGCACCCGTGCCACCGTGCACCCGCGCCCCCGTGCACTAGCGCCCCCGTGCACCCGTGCCCCCGGGCACCCGCGCCCCCGTACTCCCGCGCCCCAGTGCTCCCGCGCACCCCCCCCCCTATACACACACAAACGTACCAATCCTGGAGTATGCGGCCCCAGCATGGAACCCGTACCTTGTCAAGCACAAGACGAAGCTGGAAAAAGTTCAAAGGTATGCTACTAGACTAGTCCCAGAACTAAGAGGCGTGAGTTATGAGAAAAGGCTGCGGGAAATGCACCTTACGACACTGGAAGACAGAAGAGTAAGGGAAGACATGATCACTACCTAGAAAATTCTCAGAGGAATTGACAGGGTAGATAAGGATAAACTGTTTAACACGGATGGTACACGAACAAGGGGACACAGGTGGAGACTGAGTACCCAAATCAGCCACAGGGACGTTAGAAAGAACTTTTTCAGTGTCAGAGTAGTTAACGGATGGAATGCATTAGGCAGTGATGTGGTGGAGGCTGACTCCATACACAGTTTCAAGTGTAGATATGATAGAGCCCAGTAGGCTCAGGAACCTGTACACCTGTTGATTGACAGTTGAGAGGCGGGACCAAAGAGCCGCAGCTCAACCCCCCCGCAAGTACAACTAGGTGAGTACACACGCACGCACTTGTGAGTGTGTTCAAGGGTTTTAATCAGACAAATGTGGTGGAGACAGACGGTGGAGGAGTGGGAGTGGTTGGGGTGGTGGAGCTCCCTCCCCCCTCTCCCCCCCCCTCCCCCCCCTCCCCCCCCTCTCCTTCACCGCCACTACCACTTTCTGCCCCAATGGTTCTTTTTAAGTTGTCCTTCCCACTATTTACTCTTCCCCTTCAACCCTTATTTTACCTTTGTCCTCCAACCCCTCCATCTCTACCCTCCAAACCTTCCATCTCTACCCCCACCAAACCTTCCATCTCTACTCCCTCCAAACCTTCCATCTCTACCCTCCAAATCTTCCATCTCTACCCTCCAAACCTTCCATCTCTACCCTCCAAACCTTCCATCTCTACCCCCACCAAACCTTCCATCTCTACCCTCCAAACCTTCCATCTCTACCCCCTCTACCCCCACCAAACCTTCCATATCTACCCTCCAAACCTTCCATCTCTACCCTCCAAACCTTCCATCTCTACCCTCCAAACCTCTCTCTACCCTCCAAACCTTCCATCTCTACCCTCCAAACCTTCCATCTCTACTCTCCAAACCTTCCATCTCTACCCCCCTTCCACCAAAACCTTCCATCTCTACCCCCACCAAACCTTCCATCTCTACCCTCCCAAACCTTCCATCTCTACCCTCCAAACCTTCCATCTCTACTCTCCAAACCTTCCATCTCTACCCCCACCAACTCCCTCCAAACCTTCCATCTCTACCCCCACCAAACCTTCCATCTCTACCCTCCAAACCTTCCATCTCTACCCACCAAACCTTCCATCTCTACTCCCTCCAAACCTTCCATCTCTACCCCCTTCCATCCAAAACCTTCCATCTCTACCCACCAAACCTTCCATCTCTACCCACCAAACCTTCCATCTCTACTCCCTCCAAACCTTCCATCTCTACCCCCACCAAACCTTCCATCTCTACCCCCACCAAACCTTCCATCTCTACCCTCCAAACCTTCCATCTCTACCCACCAAACCTTCCATCTCTACCCACCAAACCTTCCATCTCTACCCCCACCAAACCTTCCATCTCTACTCCCTCCAAACCTTCCATCTCTACCCCCACCAAACCTTCCATCTCTACCCACCAAACCTTCCATCTCTACCCACCAAACCTTCCATCTCTACTCCCTCCAAACCTTCCATCTCTACCCACCAAACCTTCCATCATTACCCACCAAACCTTCCATCTCTACCCACCAAACCTTCCATCTCTACCCTCCAAACCTTCCATCTCTACCCACCAAACCTTCCATCATTACCCACCAAACCTTCCATCTCTACCCACCAAACCTTCCATCTCTACCCACCAAACCTTCCATCTCTACCCACCAAACCTTCCATCTCTACTCCCTCCAAACCTTCCATCTCTACCCCCACCAAACCTTCCATCTCTACCCCCACCAAACCTTCCTTCTCTACCCTCCAAACCTTCCATCTCTACCCACCAAACCTTCCATCATTACCCACCAAACCTTCCATCTCTACCCTCCAAACCTTCCATCTCTACCCTCCAAACCTTCCATCTCTACCCTCCAAACCTTCCATCTCTACCCACCAAACCTTCCATCTCTACCCTCCAAACCTTCCATCTCTACCCTCCAAACCTTCCAGTTTGTCTCAATAACTTATTTCCTTCTCCCTATGTCCTCCTTTCTCCCTCATTCTGTTGCCTCATTCTCCTCCATCTTGTTCTTTCATCTCCTCATTATGCGGCCTTGTTCCTCTCCTACCTTCCTCCTCCTCCCTCATTCTACCTCCTTCTACCTCCTCCTATTACCTCATTCTACCTTCTACCTCCTCCTCATTCTCCTGTTCATGTTTCCTGATTACTTAACTATTCTTCCTTCGTTGCTATCGCCTTCCTTCTTTTCCTGTGTCACCCCCCTCCCCCCTCACCCCCCTCACCCTGCCCCCCACCCTGCCCCCCCCACTCAGCCCCCCACTCAGCGCCCCCCACTCAGCCTCCTCCCCACCATTCTACGCCTCATTTAAACATTCCCTCTTGGTTTAACTCCTTTATGTGTTTACGTGTGAATCATACCTGGAGAGGGTTCAGAGTCATTCTACTTCTCAAGCCCGGCCTGGGGCCAGACTTGACTTGTGATAACTTGGTCCAACAGGCTGTTGCTAGGAGCGGAGATGCTTCTTGAATACATCTATTTTCGTTCCGGCAATATATTTAATGCTTGCTGGGAGGGTGTTGAACAGCTGTGGACCTCTGATGTTCAGACAAAGTTCTCGGATTGTGCCTGTGACACCTCTACTCTTCACTGGTTCTGTTCTGCATTTCCTTCCGTAACTTTCACTCCAGTATGTTGTTATTCTACTGTGCAAATTTGGGACCTGGCCCTCCAGTATCTTCCTTGTATATATTATTTTATACCTCTCTCGTGTCCTTTCCAGAGAGTACATTTTGAAAGCTTTGAGCCGGTCCCAATAATTTAGATGGTTTATCGTGTCTATACGTGCCGTATATGTTCTCTGTATTCCCTCTAATTCAGAGATCTCTTTGGCTCTGAAAGGGGAAGTGAGTACCGAGCAATACTCAAGACGGGACAGCACCAGTGATTTAAATAGTACAGTATTAGCATTGCTGTGGGGTCTCTGGATGTGAACGTTCTCATAATCCATCCTATCATTTTCCTGGCCGCCGCTATATTTGCTCGGTTATGTTCACTAAATGTCAGGTCGTCAGACATCATAATTCCCAGATATTTACATGTTGCTTTCCTTCTATGATTGTGTCCTGAACCCTGTGTTTAGTTTAAGTTCCTCTTTCCCACCATACCTCAGTACCTGGGACTTGTTACAGTTAAACCATCTTATTTTCAGTTGACTAATCGAAAACTTTATTAATATCTGCATGCAGTTTTTCAGTGTCTTCTACAGAGGCAGTTTTCATATTCGTTTGCCTTGTTCGGGTAGAAGGTAGACACAGTAGTCGCTTCTGTATATATTTATTGACTGAGATAGCAAGGTATATATCTGCCTAGCCGAGGTCCTTCTACTCTGAGCCTGTGAGGATAACTGCGGCTGCTGGGAGCATGCCTGATGCTCCTCTGTCTGGCATGACGTCAGAGGCCTACTTGCCTGTGATTGGTTACATTTCAACTGACAGAATTTGAGTATAACATTCATGCAGATTTTTGTCTCATCTACAAAGGATGACACGAAGCTGTGACTAATGTTTTTGTCTATATCATAAATTAGAATGATAAATCACAGCGGTGCCAGGACTGTGCCCTGGGGTACAGAGCTTTTCACTGCACTTGGTCTTGATCTTATTTGATTGATTGTTACTCTTTGAATTCTGTTTGACAAAGTTGAAAATCCAACGCCTCACTTTACCCGCTGTTCTTATTGATGTCATGTTATGGGCTGTCACTCCAGGGTCACATTTGGTGAATGCCGTAGCAAAGTCTGTGCATACAACATCTGCATTTTGTTTCTCTTCTAAAGATTCTGTGATTTTGTCATAGTGGTTGAGTAACTGTGACAGGATTTTCCCGCTTTAAATCCATGTTGTCCTGGGTTGTGTAGTTCATTCTTTTCCATAAAACTGAAAATTTGATTCCTAATCACTCTTTCAAAAAATTTTATTATGTGGGATGTTAGTGCAACTAGTCTATAATTTTTTGCCAAAGCTTTACTACCCCCCCTTGTGCAGAGGAGCTATATCTGCCTATTTAAGTGCTGCTGGTATCTCCCTTGTATCCTGGCTCTTTCTCCATATTACACTGAGCGCTCTCGCTACTGGTACTTTACATTTCTTTATAAATATTGAATTCCATGACTCGGGACCAGGGGCCTGAGTGCATGGGCATATTGTTAATTTCTTTTTCAAAGTCTTCTGAGCTCGTGTTAATATCCGTTATATTATCTGCAGCTTCAATGTCATTCATAAAGAAGCTGTCTGGGTCAATTTTTAAGAGGATGGGTTGCATCAACTTTCATGTTGTTCATAGGGGTGCTAAACATAGCCTCATACTGGCTTCTTAGAATTTCACTAATTTCTGTTGTCCTCTGTGTTCGTTCCTTCAGTTGTAATTAATGGTCCAATACTGGTGGAGGATTTTGGTTTGGATTTTGCATATGTGAAAAATATTTTGGATTTTTTTTATCTCTTGTATAGCATTGTGTTCCAATTCCATTTCCTCAGACTGGCATGATCGGTCCAGCGGTTGTTCTATGTCTTCGATCTCCCTGTTTAGGTTTATTTTCAGTTCTTGTGATAGTCGTGTCTGTTGAAGCTCTCCGGGATATTTTTTCTGTCTCCTGTACCGTCCTGTTCCATTCCATATTTCCCATCTTCTCTCGTATCTCTTTTTGACCTTTTTCGTCCCTCTCCTTCCCCTTTCCCACTTCCCCTCTCCCACTTCCAGCGGCCGAACGTTCCAGAATTTCCGGGAGCCAAAAGTAATAGAGTTGGTAACGAGCGACTAACAGTTGAACGAGGTAATTATCGTGTTGTTGACGTTGTGAGCGTGTTTGTCTGTCCCTGTGAGTGTGTGTATCGCCAATTTGTTTGTTTTGCTTGTTGATCGTTCTGCATGTTTCAGTGTGTGTGTGTGTGTGTGTGTGTGTGTGTGTGTGTGTGTGTGTGTGTGTGTGTGTGTGTGTGTGTGTGTGTGTGTACTTACCTAGTTGTGCTTGCGGGGGTTGAGCTCTGGCTCTTTGGTCCCGCCTCTCAACTGTCAATCAACTGGTGTACAGGTTCCTGAGCCTACTGGGCTCTATCATATCATATCTACTTTTGAAACTGTTTATAGAGTCAACCTCCACCACATCACTGCCTAATGCATTACATTTATTAACTGTGTGTATGTGTGTGTGTGTGTGTGTGTGTGTGTGTGTGTGTGTGTGTGTTCACCTATACTCAATAGGTGATCAATATCAACTCCTGGACTCAACCTTTTAGTGACCGGTCGTTTATTTTTTATGGCTCATATGAGTTCCTAGTATCAATAACCTTTAGAATCTTATACGTCGTGATCATACCTCTTGCCCTGTCTAGCTGACTTCCTTATCCTGATTCCTGAAGACTACACTAATGCTGATCAGCTTAATCTGCTTATGCTATCCTGGTAATGAATGTTTTATGAAACATCATTCATTTCTTGCATTTTTATGTCATCACCTTGCAAAGGATTCGATTGAAATCGAGTGGCCATTTCTCAGACCATCTGTACTGTAATTTCATATACAATTTCCTAATTATAAATGTAAATATATTTGATTTAATGTTTATTTTCTCCCAATTTGCCCGTGGAAGAATTTAATTTGATCCATGGTTCAGGCGATAGATAAATTCATATAGCTTCTCTGCTTCTCGTCTGTGTCTCATGTACTCATTTTCTGTTCTCATATTCATGTCATGGTTTTCTGGCACTCGTTCTCTCCCCATTCATGGGGTCTTGTTCATGGGTGCCAGCATTATCCTCACTTTAATAAGACTTTATCAAAATCCTCAGATTAGGCAAAATTGTAATTAATTTTGTCAATAAAGATGTTAATAATAATAATTGTTCATGTTTGTGGGACAATGTTGAACTATGGGATCTTTGTGCGTCACTTTTCTTCATAATTGGGACGTTGTGAGGTACATTTGACAGTTATCTTGAGGTTATCTTGAGATGATTTCGGGGCTTTTTAGTGTCCCCGCGGCCCGGTCCTCGACCAGGCCTCCACCCCCAGGAAGCAGCCCGTGACAGCTGACTAACTCCCAGGTACCTATTTTACTGCTAAGTAACAGGGGCATAGGGTGAAAGAAACTGCCCATTGTTTCTCGCCGGCGCCTGGGATCGAACCCAGGACCACAGGATCACAAGTCCAGCGTGCTGTCCGCTCGGCCGACCGGCTCTCAGTGTGGTGAAGGCTGTGCCATTATGTATTTAGTGTGACAGGCGACAGCCCCGCTCCTGTGCCTGGTAAGTCCACTACGGGCTCTCCATAGACCGTGCTACTTGCAACGTTTGGGTCCTAGTAACTGAATCTTAAAGACAATAATATACCTGGCCCTGGTCTCCCAGGTGACAGGTGTGGTGTGGGAGCCATGTTTGTGCAGGTGTACTCAGGTGTGATTCCGTACGCATTTGTACACGTGCGTGACATATGCGTTAGTGCGTGTCTTGGGCCATCTGCGTGCGTATAGCGGCTTCCCTCCTGTCCCCCCCTTCCCCCTTTCCCCTTTGGTGTTACCCCCTACCCCTCCCTCCCTCTTCACCCCCTTCCTACCACCTCATCCCCCCCCCTACACATGCTTCGATGACCTGAAACAAAACGAATCGCCTGTTGCGCCGCTCGTGGAAGAGGGGCGTGACCACAAAAGGGAAGGGTGGGAAGGGGGGAATTGGAGGAGATGGGAAGGGTAATGCTGGTGAGATGGAGTTGGTGAGAGTGGAGGAAGGGGGGGGTTGTGGTCCCTGGAGCCCCCGCCACAAAAGAGAAATGTCCCTTCGATGCTGATTAAAACGTTCTCCTTGTGGTGTGTGGAGTCTCCGTCTGCACCGCCACTATTGCTGTCCCTCTGTCCTCACTATTGTCTACAGTCATCACCTCCACCATCACCACCACCACCAACAGCGTCACCATCACCACCATCAACACCATAACAAATCAGGAATC